TATGCTGCCCTGCAAGGTTTTAAACCTAAGTTTGAATTGTGTCAAAGCCATTCTAAAGCACATATCAAGGTGCTTATTTTAAGCCTGGATCCATATTTATTTTTAATTATGTTCATGATGGAGAATCCTGCTTCACAGCAGCAGGTTGAGCCAAACATACTATAAATGTGCAGGGTCATCTTTGAGCACCATTTCACTTTTCTTTCACCAGTTCACTGCAGTTCTTCCAGCAGTCCACATTTTCTCTGCTCTCTTTTTCTCATCGTCTTCTCCTTCTTTCCCATCGCCCGACTTGCCCCAGGTTTGCCTGCTGTGTCTAAAAGAAGCAGCAGCAGCAGCAACCCAGACTGACAGCATCTCATTGGCTAATTTGCATCATGTGTAGCCGGGTCCCGGAAACTCTGGAGGGCTTTACCTTACAAACAGGAGAAGCGGTGCTAGTGAAATTAGACACTGTTGTCGGACAACATTCGGTAACTTATAAATGTTTTAAATCAGGTTTGGGTCCAGATTAGCCAGCAGCTGGGTCCAGATCTGGACCACGGTCCGCTAATCCTTGACCTCTGCTCTAAATTATTCTTCTGCAGGCTTGACAGACAAACTTATACTAGCATCCAGTTAAATAGAACATCATAAAAAAATGTTTTTATTGCAGCTTAACTATTATAACCTGAATACATTTTCTTATAAAGCTATTGCACAAGCATGACAGTAACGGTCTTCTTAGTGTTACTACTTCAAACTTTTATACCTAAACTTTAAAAGAATAATAATTTAACGAGACAAATGAAAAATGTTTACATTTTAAATCCAGATGCATCAATTTGTGATTAGCTGCAAATGTTGCACAAAAAATAGCCACTTTAATTTTAGGATTTGAAATAAAGAAAAATACAAAACTATCACTAAAAATGAACATTTTATGGTATCAATTTTTATTTCTGCAAATATGGTTTCCACCCCAAAATGTATGAGCATTTGAAAATATTTACTGGTACTTTTAGTGTCATTCTTTTGAGAAGTTCAATTGAAAATGGAAAATAAACAGAGAAAACCTCCATTTGTTATTTATAAATACTATAAATGTTACTATTTTTTTGTAACTAAAGTTTTTAAGGGTCATTGTGGACGTCAAAGGGGGCTGTTTTCATCTCCAGTGCTGCAGGTTGCAGAGCAATAGCCACAAATTAACAGGGAGGACTTCTTAGCTGACACCTGCCTGTCTGAGAGTCATCGTCCTTACAAATGAGGCTTAATGCTGGTGGAGGGCTGTACATGAAGATAATGGAAAGTTTGATAGAAGGTAGAGATGTGATTAAAAACAAGCACTGGGATTAACTGCAGTCTTTAGAGGATTATGAAGCAAAGTGTATTCTAGAGGTTTTGGCTGACTGCTAGAGTCAGTTCCAAACAGAACCATCTAGGACATGGACTTGAACTGTTAGCTGCTGAACCAGAGACATAAGAAGTATCTTACCCAGAGAGAAAAAATACTGCTTGGTGTGTTTGATGGTGTGTTTCCTGAGTTAGGGAGTCGGATCATCTGTACATGCTGCTCTGCTGAGGTCTAAAGGCAATGCAGAGATCTACCAAGAGACCTTAGAGCAGGCGTGTCCAGTCAGTCCTAGAGGCCCACTGTCCTGCAGGTTTAAGAGGTTTCTCTGCTTCAAAACAGCTGATTCTGATGATTGAAGTTCTGCTAAAGCCTGTTAATCAGCTATCAATGGAAATCAGCTGTGCTAAAGCAGGGAAACCTCTAAAACCTGCAGGACAGCGGCCCTCCTGGACCGATTTTGAATATGCCTACCTTAGAGCCATTAATATCCACTTCTTTTGACATGCTTTATTGAAATGCTGCTCTCATCGTGCAATAGGACTTGACCCTGTCCACACTGCCAATGGTACCAAAGACTGATCTATGGGCCATGATGGTTCTGTGCTTCTGTGGATTGATGACCGGACTGATCTGAACCCTGCAGTGAATCTATTTTGTATTTTTATGGGAAAAATTAGAGAATAGAACCAATAATACCAATGACCAGTAAACTGAACACCTCATCAGAACCACCATGCATTAAGTATTGTTAGAGTAACTGTGCAGATGGTTGAAATTACTCAACCTTTTGCATTAATGATCCCTTTTTCTTATTTAAATTTACTGAGATACTGAATTTAAGGTCTCATCATCTATAAATCCTGATCATCTAAACTAACAGGATCAGACCCTTCAAACACACCACTAATCTGTATAACTAATCTGTAAAAGATTCATATTGATAAAAAAATTATGCTTGATTTGCTGCAATAAATGCGATCAAAATTCTTATTTATTAAAATCCACCTGTGTGTGATAAATAGTTTTATCTGAAACTAACGTAACATTTAAATGGAGCCGTGCTTGTGTTCGGATTAAAGAAAGAGACGACTGCAGTCATTTAAGAAGCTGAAACTCTGGGCTGATTTTTCTGTTCCTCATTGCACTAAAAAATGTTTTGAGTTAAAATCACAAATACATCACTCCATTCTAGCAAAAATAATCCCATAAAACCTTCTGTTAGCTCACTTATAATGTTGTTCATCACAGTATATATTTTCATCACTGAAAACCACAATATTTGCAAGAAATATATACATTTCAGCCTACATATTTCTATTCATGAATACATCTATTCAATACAAAGATAATTTATCATTAAATGCATCAAATCAGTTAATTTGTGGGAAAAATATGCCTGAAGGATTAACTAACCGACCCTGTGGATGAATAGAAAAAAATACTGACTGATCCTGAGGAAAGATTTTGGTTTCAAAATTGCAGCATACCTCTTATGTTTGTATATATTTTTGAATAAATATGTTTTTACAAAAAATGAAGAGAAGTTTTGATGATTCACTGTTACTTTTATATCCTTAATAGTGAACCTTTCTTTAAAAATCCAACTTCTGTATGATGAAAACGATACCGAAACGTGTTCACTTCTGTTTTGTATTAGCGACCCCTCTTTAAAAACTTTCTAGAGACGTCCCTGTCATCAGCAGCAGTAGCAGGTCGAGCTTAAAAACGGAGCCCTGAGATTAGTCCGCTGTGTAAAGAGCAGCTGCAGGCGAGCAGCAGACAGAGACGTGCTAATCTCCTCTAGCTCATTGGGGACTGTTTGTCTCCATGCAGAGGGGAGGTGGCAATGGAGAATAAAATGCGAGGCTTGGGGTAATGAGGTGCACGCAGAGTAAAAAGCACAATTTAGCCATTAATTTGCTTGAAAGAAGGAAAAAAAAAAAAAGAAATCCACAGGACTTTCATTTAAACTCTCCCCTCTCAAATCAATATTTAATCCATCTGATGCAAGCTCCTCTCCGCACCTCCTCCCTCATCACCTTTATTTTTTTTTCTTTGTCTTATCTCTTTTGTAACAGGCAGCTCTACCACAAAAATGCTTCGTCAGGCTAGCCAGGGCTGTCCTGTTGGTTGTTCCTCTGCCTCTGTAGCAGCCTCTGACTCTCAGTGGTAATGATTACATTGGGAAGTATCATAGTAGATCTTAATGTTAAACCAGACTTGCTCAGAAATGTGCAGCTATAGGAAGTATACCACATCTAGAAATGTGTCATATCTTGGAGGTAACTGTTTGTCTTTGAATGCATAGAAGTTTTTTGAGGTTAGAGTTTCATTTTCTATTTGATCAGAACTGATACCTTTATCCAAGAACCAGTAGCACTTTCTCTATTCTTTATAGTCATAGAGTAAAAAAAAAAAGGGTCAATCAAAATCTGAATCAGCAGTTCAGGGTAAATGTTTTAGAAGCGGAAGTGTGTAGCTCTAGAAAGTACCCCCCTTCTGTATCTCAAGGTCACTCGAGATTCAGTAGCTGCACTGATCTTAAAGCTAGAGATCAAAATCAGTGAGTCTTCTCTCAATCCGCTCCAATTGATGGTTAGAAAGTTCTGCAAAGTAATTTTTTTTTTGTAAATCCCTTCAACTGGACACTTTAAAACCTAAGATCTTCCACCATTTGCAGTCTTTTAACAAATTAACCTGCATCATGCATGGTTGTTTGGGCTTTAAAATGATCCAACACACTGGAAAAAATTTAAATCTAGTCAAATTAAAATCAAGTCATTTTTTTCTTAAAATAAGTGCATTTGTTCTTAAATTGAGGATATAAAAGCGACATTTTGCCAATGGATCAAGACAATTTACATTTAAAATAAGAAAAAAACGATTGCATTGTCTTATTTCAAGTGCATATTATCGAATTATCTTATTTTAAGAGTAAAAATACTCATTCCATTGGCTTTCATTCACCTACTCAAATTAAGGGTAAATACACTTAATCTAAGACA